CAACAACAACAACAAGGCTACATACTGTATTGTCAAATAACAACAACAAAGTTATGTATTGTTAAACAATAACAAGGCTACATACTGTATTGTCAAATAACAACAACGTTATATATTGTCAAACAACAACAAGGTTGCATACTGTATTGTTCAAACAAGGCCACACATTGTATTATCAAAGAACATTTATTGCATCGTTTGATAATATTGCATTAGCCATAATATCTTGAAATTTTCGTTTAATTCTCGTTAAATATCAATGGATTGTTAGAAAGGAAAAAAGAAAACAGAAATTCAATATGGAAATATACAATTGAATGTGAAATTTAAAATTATATTTAAAATTTCATTATACAAATTAAAATACAAATTATATACAAATTAAAATTAAAAGAAAAATTAAAATTATAAAAAATACAAGATACAAATTAAAATTTTCATTTTTTATCATTATGTTTCATTAAACTATCAAATGCTCTAACAACATTCCCATTTAATACTTTTTAAATTTTCATTGTATTGATAAAATGACCAAAAAAAAAAATGATATAGATGACATATAGCTTCAGTTATCATTTAATATTTTCTAACAACAAAATAGCTCAATGTTTTTGAATTTTGTCTTGATGAAAATTTTCAAGAATTTAACAGTTAATTTTAGATTAATGATTTATCGATTAATGATTAATCATTAATCACGATCATAGAAAGTCATGTCATAAATAGCTTCTTTCATAACAATTAAGATAAGTGACAAAAATGTTTTGATATAATGATTGAATGTTGTAAACTTTGAATATGTTAATAGATTTATATGGGAAGAAAGTGAAAAAGAATTAAGGTATTAAAATTAAAGCAAGAAAATTCTGAGCCAGATCTTCTATCAAATTTCAACCTTTCACTTACACTAATTTACCGATGCTGCTACAAAAAAAAAGAAAAGAAAATTTAAATACGAAATAATTTTCCTTTCTGGTATCTTTTCAGGTAGGTGAAATTCGAACTGTTTGCAAATTTTCCATTTTTTCCCTATACGAAATAAATCAATACGAAATTTCCTTCCATACAAAACAAAACTGATATTAAATTATTAAATACGTATTTTTTCCGCCATTTTTAACTTATAACCATAAATAATGAAATAAGTAATTTATATTAAATATATTAAATAAGTAATCTGTTTTTGAATTTCCGCACCATTCATTTTTTGTATGTATTTTATGCCAATAAAAAATAAATCAGTTATAGTTAGCAGGGAGAAAGAACGTTTAAATTCAACGGAAAATTTAATTTAACTTTTTGATAACCAACACTTCAAATGGCTATTCGAATTTTCGATAATAAAGTGTGGATTTAATTTTTTCACGACGTCTCTTCTATTTTGATGAAAAGGAAGCACTATGCAAAAAACTGATCTCTCGAGAAGAATGATTGCAAGGATAGCCGAAGACTGGGATATTTTGGTATGAGGACTGGATGTAATTGCGTAAGTGACAGTGATCGTTTGATTAGACAGCAAATGAATTAAAACCATGCTTTAACTGAAGAAATAATAAAGATTGAAAAATTCTTACGAAATAAAGTGGATAGATTGAGAAAACGACATAAGAGGAAATTATAATAGGATTTGAAAATTGGATTTATTCTCGATATGTATATTTCTTATCACATCATATCACGGGTTTTTCATTGACTATCAATATATCTGTTTAGGGGAAACAAAAAGTTCGTCTAATGAATGCAAAAATGTTGCGTGAATGAATGTTGTTGCACACTTATAAATTATAAATTTTTGTTTACTCATTATGATTTGTAATTTCCATGTTTTTTAAATCAAATTAGTTGTTATTAATCTTTTTCTTTCTTTCGATAAGTCAGTAGTCGATATATGAGGGAGTCATCGAAATGAGAACTGGAACAATTTAAATAGCTGTAATAAATTTGTATTTAAAGTTTCTTATCTTCTGTTATACCTGTTTCCTTCATTTTCTACTTTTTCAGTTACTGCTTAAAACTAAACTATGATGCATATATAACATTCAGTTCTTAGACTCGAAAATTTTGAGTCACTGAAAGGATGCCAACAGTTGAAGATGGCTTAAACAGCCTCAGAAGCTCAAGAAATCAGTTTGCTTTTTGGTAAGTAGAATGAAAAATTGACTTGATCGTAAAATGGTGTGTTGTCAATGATATTTCTTAATCCCTAGTATGTTATTAATTGTAACTCATAGCGTTAATAGATAATTTTCTTTATTTAGGATTCTTTTATTTTGATCATTTTTATTCAGGATGCTTGGTTTATGCAACAATTTTGCATATGTAATTATGCTTAGTGCAGCAGAAGATATACTATCAATGGAGAATGGTCCTAAAGCATCCTCCAAAAGTATTGATGACCCTTGCCAGGTTATTTTTCCTGTCTTCTTTCCTTGATATTGATACTAATTGACAAAAGAGATGGATCACTTGTAGCTGCTTGTCATTTGTTTGTTTCATTCAATTGGATAAATTAAGGAGAAAGATGTTAAAAGTAATGGAGAATGGTTTTGGCCTTTCCTCTAATGCATTATTCACTTTCTTTTCTCATCCTTTCGGTAGTTTATTATTAATAATAGATTTGAAATTTTAGTTCCGTTTAAATTTGATTTCCATGCTGAGTTAATCGTACTTATCCAGATAATTTATCATTAAAGATAATTTGTCGCTATAGTTTTCCAGTAGTTCGACTGCACGATAATTTGACAGTATGATGCTAAATTATCTAAAAAACGGTTAAACTGTGTTAATATTTCAGAGCTCAGTTGTTCGCCGCCAATGTCAGCCATTATCCACCGGTTCAGTGTTATTAGCAAATATCATACCAAGTTTGGTTGTAAAAATATTCTATCCCTTTCTTATGTATCGCATCCCCTTTGGGTGAGTAGTATATTTTCAAATTGAAATTGAAAAGTCTAAATTTACAAGAACTTCCAGCCAACCAGTTTTTTTATCTAGCAGTATTCAACTACTTGATCATTACTTTACAGTTTCAATTTGAGCAGATTAATGTAAATTACAGTGTGCGACATTCGTTCACCGTTCTTCTTCAAATAAGCAGCTTCCTGGTAGTTGCTTTTTCACGAAATATTCTTTCGGGTTTAATTGGTTAGTTTTTTTTTTTTTTTCGATTTATTCAATAAAAAAAAACTGAATAACTTCTGCTCCAATAAACTCATTTCTTTTCACTATGGCATATTTCCCTCATTTATTTTAATCGAAACTTTTATTTTTATAATGTCAAGGATCACTATGTTCCAAAGTGCAATGCTGTTAAATATATTAGCTCAAAAAAGTTGTGCGCGGGAAATGTTAATGGGAAAATATTTACAGGTGTTGCTTTAGCAAGTATTGGAGCGGGTGTTGGAGAAGTTACCTTTCTTTCGCTGACTACATATTTCCCTAAGTAAGCAATATCTCATTTTGGTTAGTTTTATTTATAATCTCTGGCGCCTTTATTGAATCAACTGCCACCCAATTCATACAAATAATGTTACTCCAACTACTTGCTCTTTATTCACGTCATCATTAAACGGTGCTTTGAAAGATGAAATGTATCGGAAAAAAATCAGTATTTTGACGTACATTTAATTTTTTGAGAAGAAAAAACAAAACGAACTTCTAGTTAAGATATTTACCAATAAGTCAAAATTGTATGGACTTTTTGGCACTCAGTGCGTTACCTTCAGCACTTCTCAAAATTTATCATGTTTTAGGAGTAACATATTGACGAGACTCTGACTAAAGCGAGAGATCAGAGTTATCGATTTTTCCCGGTCAGAGTCTTGCCACTATGTATTTTCAGCCAATTTAAAACGTTTTTAAATTCAAAATATAAGATGTTCAACAAATGAATTAATGTTGATTGCAGTAATGTGGTGGGAGCATGGTCCTCTGGAACGGGTGGCGCTGGAATCTTTGGTTCATTTGCTTATGCGATACTAACTGATATGCATATGTTGGGATTGACACCGCAGAATGCGTTGTTGCTTATGCTCATTGTTCCATTCACTTTTGCTTTTATGTAAACTTTTTCTATAAATAAGTTCTGTCATTCATTTCGTATAACATAAGTTAGATTTGTCAATTAAAAAATGTACATTTTCTTTAGTTATTGTAACTGTTAAAGACTCATTGTTTTAGCGTTTCACACATTTTTAGTTACTGGAAGTTGTTGCTGCTACCTGGGAACATACAGAGAGTGTCAGTATGTAAACCATCAACGTATTTGGTCACCTATGCAAGTGAGCATTTGACTTTTTGCACAGCTACTAACTAAATTTCAATTATTTAAATTTCGGTACTTTTTCCGGACACTAATAAATGAATAATATATTCTGTAGTATAAGGATTTGTATCAAATTTGAATTTAACGGAAAGTTTCAGCATTAAGCAGGCGAAGAACAAGCGATGTAAGCATTGGTGATGAAGCATCACAGCTGATCAGTTAATGTTTCGATGTGTTAGCTATACGAATGCTTTTTGAGCATTAATTATGGGGCCTCTATTGTTACATTTGTGATAAACAGCACTAAAAAAAAAGCTTATAGTGCTGGGTGTTTAACGTTTACTTTTTCCCATACGCTTGATATAATGTCTTTTTTTACGTCAGCCCGTTTCCTTGGAAAAAAATATTTTAAATTTTATTTTGCAATATTTCAGAGTTAATTGTAATGTCAATTTATATTCGAAAGACCTGAAAAATTTTCTGAGCTATTTTGACAGTGTGACATTTTCTTCTTCTTTATAGATAGTCGTGACGATTCTGTTGGCGATGTCGTTCCCACCATTGAACAACAAACTTTCAAAGATAAACTAATAATAGCCAAGGTAAAGCAATTTTTTATCATGGTTTCATACTGTATGAAAATGAGCAAAATGATTTACTGATGATATTACAGTTCTTTTACAAAGAATCTTTCCATTATCATATCTGACATCAGGTTTCATCAGTGTACCGCGCAGCAGTGCATATTTTCTTGATTTTCTTGTGATGTGAGAATAGGATTTTAGGCTAAGAGAAGAAATAGTTACACACATCATGAAAATATAAATCATTCTAGTTATAAGTACAAAATAAATTAGTCGAATGATTTTCTGTATTCTTTTTTCATTTTACAGCCTCTTATTTTGAAATATATGTTTCCACTTGCCTTGGTTTATTTCGCGGAATATTTTATTAATCAAGGATTGGTAAGTTCTCGAGAAATTTTAACATGTTCATTTTCGGATCTGCCAAGTTAAAGTGCTCCTTGAAAGTTTTTCCTTTCTAATCGATTGAGCTATATATTATAATAACCGTACTGTTGTTATAAGTGGTATTTCCCATATGTTCCCTAAGAAGCAAAAGATATGTCACGAGCTATGATGTCCTGATTGTGCAGCATGTTTTCTTGCCTCGAAATATCTCACAATCTCCGTCTATTTCTGGAAGGTAGTATTGAATTTATTATTTTCATGGAGAGCAGTCGGATGATGTAAAAATTTTCGGATTAAGTTATTATTTCTATCATTAAAAAATTTTTCGGATGCGAAATATGGGAATTTTACAGCTGGAGTTACTTGTATACGACTGTGCACATAGTTTTGATATCGGTCATCATGGACAGTATCGTTGGTATCAAGTAAGTATTATAGAACTTTATAGAAATTCGGAATTGTACTTTACATTTTGCAACCAATTTTATAGGTACTTTACCAGTTTGGGGTATTTGTTTCACGCTCTTCCGTTGAGTTTATCCAGCTTGGACCATCTTCTCTACCTCTGATTCCTGTTCTGCAAGTATGAAATTTATCTTCAAAATAAGCATTCTTTGAAATTTTGAAATTTCCATACTCTTAGTATACACATAGTCTTAGTGGTTAACATACTTCTCACTCTATCTTCCGAGACATAAAACTGAATTATCAGCGGCTAATACATTTCGACATAATTTTGCTGGCATTTCATCTTCTGTTGTTTGCTTTTCAGACAATAAATGCTGTGGTTCTGTTTTGGGACGCTCTGAAATCATTCATACCGCATATTATTTTTGTATTTATCATTGTTTTCTATGAAGGATTATTGGGCGGAGCAGCTTACGTCAACATTTTCCGCCTGCTACATAAGTCGGTGAGTTAACAAATTTGCGAACAGTTTTTTTTTCCTTTTTCCTTTTTTTATGGCAAATTTTTAATTTGTAAGGTTGAAAAAAAAATTGAAATCGAAAAATTGTTTAATTCTTCTCTTTGTCACTGCGAGTTCTTCCAAATTTGATGTCACATATTTCGCGAAACTTGGGAAGTTATTTCCGGAAAATTCTGACGTTTCTCACCAAATTTATCTGATAAATAAGCGCCAGTTGGCGTTTGGCGCTTTAGTTTATAGACTGATCAATGTGATTCCATACAATATAAATACGAAATTACCTAATAATTACCCTGGAATTTTAAGACCAGAGCATGGGATCACGAAAATTGTCGAAATACAAAAAAAGAAAAACTTCGCTCGATATTTTCACTTATTTTATAAGATTTACGATCATTCGAAGCGCCTTAGTTCAACACATTAGATGTACGTCAAGTGCCCTCCGAAAAGAAGCTTAGGGTTCCTACCACCAGCAAACAGTTCCGTCCGATCTGCATAACGCTTAATTCAACATTCACGTTATGTTCAATCATACTTCGATACCATCCAATTGTTGCCATTGCTGTTGTGAAAGTTTTTTTTTTTTTTTTGAGGCACAATCGAATATTTGTGATGAAAATTTGTTGATAAACGGGTATACGTTATAAGAGAATTATCAGAGAATATTACAGAGAGAGTAGATTACCAGCCTGCAATGATGAGCTGAACTGAATAATATTGAGTGAATAACTGGACCTTAAATGAAAGTATCCATTTATATTGTAAGAGTTTTACAACAACCGACATTGATAATTACATATAAGCTTGATCATCAGACCATATATTCTTTACAACAACATAATGGGAGGTGGATAAATGATTCATCACATTAGATTACCAAAGCATTTATAATTTTTCTTTGTGTGTGTAGTGAATCATGTATCTAACAAATATTCAAAACTGAACGGCCTTTATATTACAAATTTCTGTATTATGAATTTAATTCAGTTATTCTAGATATGTCTACAAGACAGTATCTTGATTGTACCGACATATTTCATTATGTAAAAATACCTCGGTTTATCCGACAATTCCGATACAGTGATGTTTGGTTGGTCACAGAGAAAAACGATCCATTTTAAAATTAAATTTCATTCAAGTTTCAGATCCCAATAGAAGGAAGAGAATTCAGTTTGGGTTTCGTTTCGATGTCTGATTCATTTGGTATTGTGTGCGCAGGTTTTTTAGCTATACCAACTCATAATTTTATCTGTAATATGCCTGTCTGAAACTATTCTATAGTTTCCTGGAGTAAGCAGCTACTCTGTACTATCGCTTAAGTTTTTCTTTCCAAGCAAAATAAGCAGCTCACATTTGTTTCCTTTCATTTTTTTTTTCGAACTTTAAAAGGATTACCATCAGAACTGGTATATTTTAAAGCTTATATTTTGGGGCTTCAATGATTTACTTTGATAAATTTGTAAAGTTGTAATATCTGTTACTTTTCTCATTACGTATTCGGAATTGTCTACCACTTAATAACGCTTCAAAAAAACATTTTTATCATCATTAATGCAAATATACAGGAGATGAAGGGAAATGAGTAATCCTGAGTGATAAAAATGACGATTCCTTTAAAATTCAGCTCAGGACGACTAGGTTGATATACAAAGAATATATCAAAATTTTTTTCTAGATATTTCTTTTCGGATCCATTTACTTCAGGCAATCCCAAAAATAATAGATAAATTAAAACATTCTTGAAATGAGAATCATTCTAATTGAGTTTCGGAAATTATATTACCAGTCCATAACAATACGAAGGTAATGAATGAATAAAGCAAATACAACAATAAAGAATGCAAACAATGAATACCTTAGCCGACGAATGAAATAGGTCCGATGGTCATTATCATCCTGTGCTCCAGCTAACATTCGTTTATAAAGTGAACGCTCCTGCTCACGGCAAAGCTTTAAACGAGCTTTCAGACGGCGCAGTTCTTTAGCAATAAGCTGAAAGATAGTAAGACAGTTACTAAATTAGCCAATTCTGGAACTACTGAAAACACTGTGTAACGATAAGACGCGCTTCGCATAAAGTACGCTATTTTGCACAGGTAATTAAAGTTGTGATAAACAAATTAAGCTCAAGCGAGAGGACGAAGGTGTATTTGAATCTTTGCAACATTTTAGTTGATTAGTATGCGACTTTATTTCTAATCAGAGATCCTTACGTTCCTCTGCCATCATGTTCTAATGTCGTCCTTGCTGAATGTCTTGAACGTTTTAGTGAAGATGAAGTGTGCCCAATATGTAGGGAACGATACTGCATGTTTGCTTTCTTGTAGAATTGAAACGATTTGAATTTTAAAATTGACCTCATCGTTGGGATCAATCTGATGCGCGATATTCAAAGTGTCGATTGCTTTTTCGATGAAATTCAAATTTGCATAGGCATTTGCTCGCCTGAACAATGCTTTTGTATTGCCAGCATTCAAATTCAGAGCAGCACTGGAAGCATCCAAAGTTAACTTCCAGTCGCAAAGCTAGAAAAAATTGTATTAGGAAGTGAACTGACGAAACAGTTACCGTACATAATACGTGAGGCTGGAGAAAATATAGCCAAAAAGTTAGTGCTCCATAAACATTCGTATTCCAGCTAAATCCGAAATAATCCGCAGCAAAATCGACTACCAGCACTTTATCAATTCAAGACATGCTGACGGTTCATACGTAATACGACATGTAGTACTGTAAGGGGTTGAGTCGTATACATAATCAGAACGAGAATCAATGCATCCTAAAAGTTAAACCTACTTATCGTTTTTATGTATTTTATGATCTACAGAATTAGAAGCGTAAAAAAACCGTCCAAAAAAAATTACAAACTCGGAGAAATTCCCAACCTTTGCATAGCAAACAGACAAATTGGAGTAGATCATCGACAGTAAATTTCGCAGTGTTTCATTTTTTATTGGCGTATCAATCAATTCGACACTCCTGAAGAACGGCAAAATTTTCACAGATCTTTTTTTACAGATTTTTACAGATTTTACAGCAGCAGAGATCGTAATCTGATACAGGTCGAAGATAGTTAAATAAAATTTAACAGTGACAATATGATATATGTTCCCATCTGCGGCGAAAAAAGCACTTTTAATCAACATGAACTGCATTCAAAATTGAAACACTTCCGAAATATCAACGAACAAAAAAAAAGAGTAGTGGGAAAGCAACCCCAATTACAAAATTTCCAGATTTCAATTCCACTTCCTCATGTCTAATTTAACTCTTGAATTATTCACCTCTTATAAACATATATTGCTTTCTCCAATTCCTTTCTATTATAGAAATAATTGCCTCTTTCTTTCAATTCTGTGATATGCTTCACCAATTCATTCGTTTGCAGCGTTGTATACAGTGGTCCGTCGGTAATACAAATTAGTTCAATTTCATATTCCATCGTTTGGTATGGCGGAATATTACGTTCTGGATCACCCACGCTACCATATGCGAAACGATGCTCACTTTTTATGGCGTCAATCTCGCCTTCATGCATTAGCTGCAGCACCATTTCCCACGCTGAAGCATTAGTACAGAGAAGAAAGTAAAGTTACTTATTTCGATGGGAAAAAAGTTGAATTTTCGCTGGGTGACTATTTTAAGCAAAATGAATACAGCTGCAAATGGGTATTTAGAAGTATCTAAAGTCCACTAAACATGTATCGAATAAAGAAAGAATAATATAAGCTAAAGTTATCATACTTTTTCACGACTAATCTCTGTACAATTTAAAAGAAATTAGCACAGATGATTCATCTGTTTTCTTTTTCTTTTTTTTTTTATATACCAACATGGGTATATAAAAGTATTGGTTGATAAAGATAAAAGGATGATGTGAAAAAGAAGTTAACAAACCATCAATAACCATACTGAAACCGAGAATAAATGTTTTCTCGCTAACATTATCTATTCCAAACCCTGTATCTACAACTCGAACTGTTACCTTCTGGCCATTCCGAGCTTTTGGTCCTTTGCCAGCTTTCAACACCTAAAATTTGCATTGCATTCTACTAAGCAACTCAACATCTGACTAACAGTATCGATCCAAAGTAAACTGTAATTTAAGTGTTGTTCTCTTTTGAATCAATTATTTAATTATTTGAAATTTATTCAGCTACTATTATACTTAATTTTTTGTTGGAACATTTCAGAAAAGTTCGCTTGCAAAAAAAAGAGAAATTATATGAACAATTCCAGAACATGACAAAAACTACAAATAATTATTGGAAAACGAACAGCTTACGTTTAAGAAACATAAAATAAACTAAAAAGTTACAAAAAGTATTAAACGAGATAGACCAGAAGGATACAAGTAAACTAAATGAATGAATTCGACTAGTACTATAAATTTGATTTAGGCCACAAATACTCGACCATATTCAAACAAAATTGTTACCATTCCAGCAATATACCTTCACCGAATGATGAGATATGGTAGCAATAGTTAACCTTTCTAAAGAGCTAAAGCTGCTATATTGGCTTCATTTAAATAACTGACTCCATAATCATTATGAAAGATAATATAAAATCAACCATTTAAATGGAACCAATATATTAGAAAGTTTAACTATTACGACTAGATCTCGTCGGATTCATGATAAGTACTCATAATAAAAGTGGACCACCTTACAAAACAACTGTCCACTACCCAAAATATCATTCCATTCTTCTGCGGAAGCAGAGCGGTGAACGCCATTGGGAATGGAGAGGGATTGCTCCGTACGACATTCTGTTTCGAGGGCATCACTGGATGGGCCTTTTGCCTTTGTTGCCAAAGTCTAGAATATAGAAAATGATTAAAATGGAACCGATAACTACAAGCATAGAAATTTGAAGCGTAAAAATCAAAAAACATGCAACCAGTCAGTGATGTTCTTTTTCCCAAACGAAAACATCTTGAATGAATAGAAAAACTACATGTATTCTCGCAACACCAGATAGATCAGAATCACTCAACGCGGCACGTTCTTCGTCAACAGAACCATCTAACGACGGCTCACCGCTGCTTACTGCACGACGATGGCAATGATTCTACAAACAGGTATTTAACATAAATGGCACATTAGCAAGCAACTAACCAATTCTTTCAAATAAATTACCACCATCCAAACTATTGCAAAGTTTCGGAACAATTTTTTTCTCTAAAATAAATCATTTAATTTAAAATAAGATTTCTAGACATCATGAAATATCTGCACACCAACTTGTTCATTATCTGGCTAATGTCACTTGTCATTAACTTATCACTAATTATACTGTCTTCATCACAAACGCGGTAACCAAAATATGGGGAAACACTGAATATTTTGATCTTACTAACATTGCACAAAAAAAAAAAATCGAAAAATGAGTGGCCATATCCAACAATAGTCACGTACTTTATTACGTGAGAAAACGAAGCAATCTTAAAGTCAATAACAACAATATTACTAAAAAGAGGAAGAAACATGCAAAATGATAGTTAATTACTACTTAACCTCATTTATATCATCCGAACCAGTGAGTCGTAATTCTTCTCCGTTTTCATTCCAATTACCGGATAACATATCAGAGTCGTTCCTTAATTCTTAATCGCTCTTACGTTCTAGTCCTTCTTCAAATTCCTTATCGCTTTTCAAATTCTAGCCGTTTTTCCAACTATTTATTCGTTTGTCTTTTTCAAAAGTTCATGAAGAATAGAAACAAAAGCGGTATGAACAAATCTGAAAATGTTCAGGCGTAATAAATCTAATAGAGAGTAATTTTCAACTTCATTAAAATTACGGCAATGCTAAGGACAGGATATCTTTCAATGATTCCAGTGACGTAAAGAGAATGGGCGAAATACTGTTACGGAAAATATGGGAAGAGGATATTTCAAACTCTTGGTTAATTGAACTCAAGGAGGTATAACAGAATAAGATGAAGAAAAAAAAAAAACCAAACAATAATCTCATACTACCACATATCTATAAATAATTCATCTGAGTTTGCTAATTAAACACTGTTAAGGTATGATAACTGACACTAACATCATTATGACTAACTGCTAAGTCTGATTAATCTGTTTTCTAATTTAATTATATGTCTCCAAATAATCTCCAAATAATAATTATTGTCAGAAATAACTGTGAAATTTATCAACAACGCAAAAAAAAAAAAAAAAACTACCAAAGATTATTGAATTTAAAAAAAAGGAAAAATGAAAAATTACAGAGATATCGACCTCCAGCAGTTCACCATCTCCTTACAATCTTATCTAACAAAAACACAAGAATCCGAAAATCCCGCTCAATCCCAGAAATTATGAGGAATTTACGGATGAGATTCGTAGAAACGACGGGCGAAATCCGGAATTCTCGTCATCCCCACAATGCAATAATTTTTGTCTCTCATTTTAACAAAGAAAGAGAGAAGTTTTAGGATGATCCTATCCCAACTTTTCATTTTATAAACCCCTTAACTATCACTATGATAATTCTATCGAGATTTTCTTCATTAGGTTTTGTGCAGTAATTTGTCACAAATTTATTTATTAAACCTAAAATTAGAATTTTTTTTTTTTTTTGTTGACAATAAATATTTCAATTCCACTTTTTTTTCCTTTTTTTTATTTAAATAGCATTTCGAATAGTTTTCAAATAGTAACAAATATTTTGATATTCTTTAAAAAAGAAAAAAAATTTTTTTTTTTGTTTAGATAATTTTTGAATCGAAATGTTTTTTTTTGTTTAGATAATTTTTGAATCGAAATTTTAGGAAAAAATCCTTTCCTCTCATTTTCATCACATTTGAATATTTCGATTTTTGATTTTATTCGCATTTAGTTTAATCATTTCAATCATTAGCACAAATGTAGTAACATTCATCCATTATCAACATTATATTTAATACAATTGTATCAGAAATATTTATATGATCAATGATTTTATCTTTTTTTATTTTATATTATATATCATCTATTATTTTTATTTTATTTTATAGTATATATTATCTTCAAAATTTCCTCTTACTATATTACTTTTATGCTGTTATTAATATTTGATTTCATTTATAGTTTAATAATTAATTGTATTATATGATGAAATATCAATTCGTGCAAAAATTTAATTTCATAAATTCTTTCGGATTAAATTTTATTTTAATAAATATCCTATTATTGTTTGCCTTTTTAACATTAAAGTTTGTATAAGCGGAAAAATAGCCGCAAATTTAATCTTATCAATTAAAATCATTTCATTTGCGCCATAAAATTAATATCATGTTAATAT